TTCAGGCTTAAAGTTTTATGTGATCGAAGTTTGTAAGATATTAATCAAGTGAACAGAAACATATTGTTAGTGTGATAAAGGCTTTTTTAACAGGCTTTACACGGCAGGCTGTGGCTGAGAGGGAATGTCAGGATGCTTCTTCATCAGAGGGTCAGGGGTTTGAGTCGTGGCTCCTCCTATAGCATGTTGACGTGTCCTCGGGGAAAACTTTGAATTCTCCCTTTAGGGCTCACCACAGCAGATCTCTATCATCCTCCTCTGCTACACCAAACCTCTGCATGTCCTTCTTCATCACACCCATGAACCTTCTTTCAGGCCTCTTCTACTCCTGCCTGGCAGCTCCATCTTCAGCGTCCTTTGTCCAATATATTCACTATCCCTCCTCTGCTCTCTAACTTTGTCTTCAAACTGCTCAACCTGAGCTCACCCTTGACAATCACCTCCACCCACTCCTCCCCGCCTGCACTCTCTTCTTCACCTCTCTTTTGCACTTGCTTTGGATGTTTGACCCCAGCTTTTTAAACTCATCTACCTTCACTACCTCTGATATTTATAGTTTCATTGTAACACCTGTCTCGCTCTCAGTCACACGCATGATTTTATCCTACTTCTACCGACGTTCATTCTTCTTCTCTCCAGAGCGTACCTCCACCTCTCCAAGCTTTCTTCCACCTGATAAAAATGTCTGCAAACATCGTAGTACACAGAGACTCCTGCATGACCTCACTGATCAGCCTGTCCATCACCACAGCAAACAGCTGATCCCTGATGTAATCCCATCCCCACTTTGAATCCGTGTCGCTTCAACTACACCCCTCACCTTTGTGTTGCTGTCCTCATACATTTCCTACACCTGCTGCTCCTGAAAGTCAGTACCAGTACCAGTACACTTCCCCTCCATTCTTCAGGGGTCTTGTGTTAAACAATCAGGATAAAAAAAGCCCACTAGAGAGCTCAATACTTCCTAAACTCCAGTCATGCATCAGTCAGTGTGCCCATGACTGATAAAAACAATTTAAGGCAAAGTGCTGTGTGTGCATGCAAAAGTGCACTTTCTAAGTAAGCTGTGAGAGAAACAGGGAAAGACTTATCATTGCATGTTTTGGTTATGTCGAGTTGTTTGACCAGAGTTTGCGGTGAAGTCAAGAACTTTTGCAAAGATCCAGATCCAAAGATCCAGAGCTGTTTGTCACCAACATTAAACCTCCAAACTGCTGACCTTTTGCCGTGAGCTTCCTCCGTGCTGTAGCAGCCAGCCCACTGCTGATGTGCTGATGAAGTTAATTCAGTTCACCCCAGGGCCACCGATACCCACTCGAGCTCTCCGAGTAGGATCGGGTTGATATTCGATCCAAACGTTGGAGCCGAGCATCCTTAATTAAGTCCTTTAATTTGTCTTTCAGGGATTTTGTATTAACAGATGAGATCGGATGGATATATTTGGTATTACTGGAGCCAGAGACATGCTGACAGATGCTGTTTTTTGGTTATGTGTTTCTTGGTGTGTGTGTGTGTGTTTGTGGGAGGCATTAGAGACTCAGCAGGATAGCATTTGGAAGCCTCAGATTTGCTGTACCCCAACATCATTAAAACATAAGACAAATTTAAACACTGTGGGAAAATAGAAGAAGGGCAGGTTACAATCCAAGTACTGTT